AAAAAGTGATTTCCCAAAAAAAAAAAAAAAAAAAAAAATCAAGCATAGCCTATGAAGCATCCACAGAGGAAATGAAAAAAGTCCAAATTATCTAAAAAATGCATTTGTAGAGAATTTAAATTAAAAAACGAAGATCTGTACCTATTTCTAGGTCATATTTCCCATCTCCTTCACCTATATTTTTCCAGATATTTCTTAGAAATCATTTCTTTATTTTTTTTTCACTGTGTAAAAATGTTCATTGTTGCTTGCAATGACAAATTTTATCCCACCCATTCTCTCCACCACTCCTGATTCTCCAAGTACTGCCCCAGGTTCTCTCTCATTTGGTCTTTGCTTCTGCAGTCAGGGAGCCACATTTTTAGACGCCATTTCTTGACTCTATTGTCTCCTTCATTCAGTTATTTCTTCTTTCCTAAATGCCCAAACTCAGGAAATGAGTTCATATTTGTATAGCTAGTCCACTAATTAGCAACACTACACATACATCTTCTCTCTCTACCGGATTGATAGCAGTACCTGTCCACTACATATTTTTATGACATTCTCTGACCTACCCACTCTAGTTACTAAAATACACGTGGTAGGTGTTCAATAAACATTTGCTGAATGAACACAGGAATGGATACACCCAAAAGGGGAATCGTTAAAAAGAGAATGAATGGGAATTGTAACCAAATAAGTCCTAGATGAACAATCTTTTCAAGTAAACTCATTTTTCTAAAAACAATGGAACACTGATGCTTAATGTATGTGTAAATCAGATTTAAATGTGTTGCAAAAAGTTGTGGAATAAATATATACCAGCAGAAATAGCTTTCTTCCATGGTAGTATATTAGAAGAAATCTGCAGTTTTGCTAAGTTACGAACTGGAATCATATGTGCTGGCTACTTACTGTTTGGGACTGAATCTTACTGACCAACTCGACTCTGCTTTGCAATTCTCTACTCATTGTGGCCTATGTATTAATTTCAGGAAAACAACAAAGAAAATCAACAAAAATGACTCAGTGAAAAACAGCCCTACAAAGAAAGATAATCAATAGCGTTCCAGATATAAAAGAAGACAAAATGAAAAGAATAGTGTTCCAGAGAAGATTTCATTGGTGAAATTTTAATTTTGAAGGTTTACTACAAATTCAGGAGTTAAGCCTCAAAAATGTCATAGACCTACTATAAAACACCTGCCTCCCTACTTCAACCATCTCCCTACAAAAGCATCTTCAAAAGAAACCACTCTCAAAAATATATATAAAACATGCGGCATATCCTCCAATTAGAAGCAGAACTAGTGATGGCTTACTTATTAATTAAACATACTCCAAACCCATTCCATGGGAATAGGAGAAAAAGGGACCCCCTTACCTTCCTGGGAAACAATCTCCTGCGGCAAAAGCATATCCTCCAATTAGAAGCAGAACTAGTGATGGCTTACTTATTAATTAAACATACTCCAAACCCATACCATGGGAATAGGAGAAAAAGGGACCCCCTTACCTTCCTGGGAAACAATCTCCTGCGGCAAATCATCATTAAAATCTAAGTGCATTTCGGTTGGTTCCTCAGATCCCAAAAGACTGTGGTCCACAGTTAAACGCCCCTTCTTTTCCTCTCTTTCTTTCAAGATAACCTAAAAGTCATTGTACCAGCTTTTAATTACTGTTCACTTGTCAACTATGTACTAAATGGTTACAATGTACACTATAACACAGTAATAATATACTACACATATATAGTAATAGTAATAGTATACACTGTAACACAGTAGTAGTTCACTTAAACATGGCCACATGGATTTTAATTGGCTATGTGTTTAGTTGGCTACATGGAAACTGTTAAAAAGGTGAATGTAAGGAAGCACTGTATACAAAATAAAGGGAGGCAATTATGACATAGAATATATAGCTATCAAACCACATCTGCCTCACTCTTGAAATCCTGAGTGACAAATTAGACAGTTTAAAAAAAAAAGGATAAATTTAAAACTTTGAAAACCAGGTCATAGTTACATTTGATTTACATTTTATAATTTTCAACTATTTGGACATAATATACCTCATTCTGATCCTCCTAATAACAATAGTGAGTTAAAGTTGACATTATACCCAATTCATAGATGAGAAAGATGGGGTAGAAGTTTGCCTAAAACTACCTACATAGCAAGTTCTAAAGTTAATACCAAATCCTAGGGCTTCTGATTCCTAGAGTCTAATGTTTTTGGATATTAAATATTTAACTGTTTTTTCTGTAACCTCATAGAACGAATTCATTCTCTGGTGTCTTGTTCCACACAGAAAGATAGTCACGATGCTGAAGATACCCCAACTTTGAATTAACTAGTCATCAAGATGCATGCCTATGAATACTTCAAGTAATTTGTTGGCTAAAATACAACTAATTTTGCAAAACAGATTCAAACTCTCATTTATTCTGTAAAATAAGCATCCTCAGATTTTGGTTTACCTTTTTAAGTGCTGTGGGTCGTTTTAGTTTTGCGATTTCCTTCTCTTTTCCTTTTTTTGCTTTAGAGGAAGTAATGTCCAAAGAATTAAAAGTTGTCAAACAAGGCTGACTTTTGGTTAAAGGTTTTCTGTTAGTAGAGTCTTTAGTGTGAAAAGATGCTGCAGTAACCACTAAAAACAAAGAACATTAGTTTTACTACTGGGACCAATTCTACATACTTTCAAAATTTCCAATGATAAATCTATAAGAACATCCTCTTCCTGTGGGAAAAAATAGACATCATAATAGGAGGAGCAGTACATGGCTAAAAAGCATCCCTCAGATACAGTTTTTATCCACCTTTATAGCCTCCATAAGACAATGACGATGAAGCCAATGCAGGAATTAACCATTTTAGAAGTCCAAAGTAGGGATATATAATTAGTTGCACTCTACTGCAGCAATCGTCAAGCATGGCAATTACTTCATTCCAAACCATTCTTCATTCAGAACCATTCTATCTTTGAAATTTCAAAACTCTGTACCTCTCCTTATTCATATTGAATTAGGTAGCCTATCACTCCTCTCATTTCAATCTGTCAGTAAAGAATGATTTCCCCCCTCAGCTGCACAACATTCAGTACTACTCAGCAATTCTTTTATGCCTGGTTGATACCCTCATTCTCCAGTGGCTACCTCCAATTCTTTAATACTCCCAAGCCTCTGATCTCAATCCTTTCACTCTAGCAGAGCTTTCCTGTCCCTTCCCTGAACAGATGCTATCCAATACAAACTTATAAACCACCTGAAAGGAGGTGGCAGACATCCTTAGTCCTGTGCAAGGCTCATCAACCACCTTTGCTCTTACATCTCAGTTCCTCTAGGATCTTGCTCTGTTCCTTTCCCCTTGCTTCTTTCAAGTCTCTCCTTAACGCTTTTCCCTAAGCCCTATAAGCTAAAATCTCCTTTATCTAAAAGGGGGGTGGGGGACAAACCAACAAAACCCTTCCCTTGATGGCTTCCCTTCAAGCTAGGTACTGTCACTCTCCTTTCCTTCCCTATTAAACTTCTGAACAGTCTTTCTCTAATCATCATTTCCCAAATCATTATTATGGGGCCTCTGCCCTACTCACTCTCTTGAAACTGTTATTGTCAAGATCACGCATAACTTTGCAAATGCCAAATATAATTCTGAGTCTTCATTCTATTCTAGTTTTCTTCAGTATTTGGTACCACATACTACATCATCCTTTTCCTCAAAATTCTATCCTTACCTTTATATGACATTACACTCTCCTACTTTTCTCTTTCTCAAATCTACTTTTCTGGTGGTTCTTCCTTTTGTCCTTTCAATCTGAGCATTCCACAAGGACTTATCCCTAACACCTTTTTCCTAATTTTTTTCACCCCAACAATCTTATTTCCACAGTTTCAACAATCATTCTATTTCAAACTCACTGGCTTCTAACCTAAACTACCCATTCATAGCTATATGCTAAACAGGAACCACCAGGATCTCCCTTGTTATATTACTTTAAATACTACAGGGCCAGCATCTGTTCTTCCCAACAAAATTCTTCCATGATCCTTATCTTGTGTGTATCATCATAGCCCTTACCACTACCACAATCCTCTAAGCCAGAGAGTTTGGAGTCATCTTTGACCTGTCTCCACTTTCAATTATTAAAAGACCCTATTAATTCCTTACAATCCTTTTTCATCACTACCACAGTATCATCCTTTTCTTGAACTTACAAACCTCCCAGCAGCTTTCTTTGTAATCAACACTTTCCAATTTAAACAATGGTGATCATTAGAGGATAATCTCAATTCTGTCAAGAATCCTACTCCCTCTTCAAAGCCTAGTTCAAGTGCTATCTTATATGAAATCATTTATTACACCTTTCTCATACCTCCCTGTTGACATATATCACTCTCTTCCACAAGTTCACAAAACTTTGCTGGTTCCTTTCCTAAGGGACTGCTTTTGATAAGTTATTTGTGTATGTCTTTCTCCCCCACTAGATAATAAACTTCTTGACCAAAGGCATACTTTAATCATCGCTGTCATCCCCCAAATTCTGACACCATATTTTGCATACAGATATTTACATTTGTATAGATTAAAATTTGCTAAATGAATCAAAGTTGTAATAATAAGCCATTTGAAATATCGCAGGTTAACAATCTTTTCCATAATAGTAGTAGTTAACATTTACTGAATGATAACCCAGATACTCTAAGAACTTTACATGTGTCATATCTCACTTAATCCTCAAGACAATCCTGAAATATCATCACCTCCACTTTAATGTAAGAAAATTGAAACAGGATGGTTAAGTAACCAAAGAAATACATGAAAGAACAGGATTCAAACCTAGGAAGCTTGACTCCAGAGCCCCTGCTTTAAGCTACTAGGCCATACTACTTCCAGAATACCCCTAAGTCTCAGTTCTATTCCCCACAGTCCTTCTTAATGAGATGTTACTGCCACTCTCCTCATTTCAACAACATGCAACTCTAAAACTTAGTATTCATTCAATATTATTTTTACTAATAGTAGTTACTCAAAGCAAAGGTTTATACTGGATGGGCAACTAGGTGTAGTTTTAAACATTTTGTACATAGGATCAAAATTATACACTGTTACATCTTTTTGTCTAATAAGCAATAGTCCCTTCTTCACATAGGAACAGAAGAAACAGAAAATTCAATCTTGTCTCTCAGCATCAGTGCTTTCTATTGGTGCCTTTCCCTTTCCTTTGTTCTACTTCTCACCCTCTAAAACAAAAACTATGAAAATAGATGACAGAGTACATCAGAACTGCTGAGCTCTAAATTCGACAAGGTTTGTTAAAGCAGAAATTACTGTTTTAGTAAAAAGCCAGATCATTTTCTCATACTCACACACACAGATACACACACACAATTTGATCAACTCCTTTTTCCTATTTAGTTTTAAATTGGATAATTTAATAGTTAAGAAAGCCATACTATATATATATATTTATATTTATATATTTATAAAACAACTTAGATTAAAAATATCCCAAATACATTATAAAAGCCAAACAGTAAATTGCTCAGACTACCAATATTACCTGTATATGAAAGAGGTCTGGTATTAGTAATTTGACGTGCTTTCATTGCTTGTTGTTGTTTTTCCAGAGCAGCTAACATATCCCCCAAATCTAGCTGTACAGGTGTTTTATTCTTTTTTCCAGCTGCCTTTGATAAAGCTTCCTGCAGGTAAACATAAAAACATTTATCTATTACAGTAAGAAAGTGTGACAATGTAAGATAATTATACTTATCACTCTTCCTATCCATCCCCCCATTTGGTCATAAAAATGAATATGTACCTGTAACTTTTTTTGCTCCATACTTATTTCTGAATATTCTTGAGCTGTGGCAAGGGCTGCTGCTAAAGCTTTCTTCTTCTGACTTTTTGCACGTTTAGGGACTGAGGTGGTAATGGGAATTGGAGTCTGAACTATATTGATTGGGGAGTTTTCAGGTAAATCATCCAACTATGATAATCAGAGAAAAACATTTGTTAGTGATCCCGTAAAAATCCCATAAGGAAAGCTGATCCAAAATGTGGGATGTTCTGCAGTATAATGACTAGATTCTTCAAAATGTCATAAAGAACAGAGGAAGACAGTGAGACCATTTTAGACCAGGAAATAATAAAGGGATAAAACAGCTTTAAGGCAATGGGTGATGCTTATCTGGATCCTAGACTGAAATAAAACAAAATACCTCCAAAGCAAAATCTTGCAACAGTTGGCAAAATTTTAATACAGACTGCATGCTGAATATGTTGTTTCACTGAAAGTATTTTCTTGTCCAGTAATGGAACTCTGAATTTCACAGGAAAGTGTCCTTGTTCTGGCTATGTTGAAAATAAATTTTAAACCTAAGTACTAACAGTTTCCTGTATACCATGCTGCCCATGTGTCTACGTGTCTTTATACTTACCTTACCCTTAATATTTCTTTTCAACATAACATAGTTCAAAAGATGTTTTATTTTGCTTATCTGCTTAGAGTCACTTACTACTTTTGAAGAAAGTTTCTGTTGAATATTGTCATCCTTAACATTTCCATTTTCTTTTAGTTCTTGAAACCCATCTTCATCCTGAAATAGTTTCACATTTTAAGTAAAAAAGAGTTCAAGGCAAACTCCTAAGAAAAACTTTGTATAATAACTTAAGAATAATGAAAAATAGGGAAATGACATTTTGTATTCTACTACTGAACTATTTAAAGTCAGTCATAAAAAGGAAATCTCATTTCTCACATGCTAAAACATAGCCAATTTAATTCAGGGATGGGGACACATCCACACAAGTCCATCGTTTGGATTTCTGCATCTATTTCCTTTTTACTAATAATTCAACCCTAACATGAGTAGGTAATTGAAAAGAAACTCAAACCAGATTTTATCACATTCAGGTAATTTGGAAAAATTTTTAAACAGCTTAATATGAATTTTTAAAATATATTCCCTGTCCCACATTACTACACAAAGCTGTCAATAAGGTTAAATGTTAAAAAATAAAAATAGAAAAATATTTTCTACTCAAATTAATTTCTTAACCAGGGCTGGCTGGTTAGCTCAGTTGGTTAGAACATGGTGCTATAACACCAAAGTCAACGGTTTGGATCCCCGTACAAGCCAGCCACCAAAAAACAAATAAACAAACAAAAAAACAATATCCACCTTTACTAAAAATTATATCTATTATCTTTAACTAAATGTAAATATGGAACCAATCATACAGTGGCACATATAATAAAATTGCCATATCTGGATATACTGAAACAATTTTTTATAGAATAACTAAGATGTACTCTCAAGTCCACTGGGTCAATTACTAAGCTTATCTAACACATTCTTCAACTCTATTCTCTGACACTGTGCAAGTTTTCCAGTTTAGTCTCCTTCTATAACCCTTTTTACAGAATCTGTGATCCAACTAAAATGAGGTACTCAAATGAGGCACTGGGGATGTCAGTGAAAAACATCCTGACACAACCAAATTCTACTTACTCTTTAAAATACATGCCAAATGTTATTCCTATCCTGCCCTAAACCAAAAGTGACCTGTCTCTCCTTCCAACTCCAGCCACACTCAATCAAGTATTAGGTGTGTAAATGTCTATATTCCTCGACTCCACAACAACCTCCTTAAGGATAGTGTCTAGTCGCCTTAATATTATCATTAAGAGTATCTTCCTTTACACACACAAGAGGTCTTCAAAAAGTTCATGGAAAATATATATTATGAAAAAACTATGCATGGCTTTCAAAAATTTTTTGCACCAAAATTAACTTGTACTAACTTGTTATAACATGTGTGAACAGGATCTACTTTGAGGCACTAAGAGGGAAAAGACATCACTTTAAAAAGAGGCCCTATCAGAGCAACATGAATCCTGGTAAAATTGAAGCAAGAACAAACATCAACTTGATGGTGAAGCTTGGGTAGAAGAATGATGACATCATTGATGTTTTATGAAAAAATCTAAGAGAACAATGCCCCAAAGAAATCAGCAGTTTAAAAATGGATAACTCATTTTTAAAAGGGACGAGATATAGTTGAAGATGAAGCCTGCAGCAGCAGACCATCCACATCAATTTGTGAGGAAAAAATTAATATTATTTGGCCCTAATTGAAGAGACCAATGATTAACAGCAGAAACAACAGCCAATACCAAAGACATCTCAACTGGTTCAGCTTATACAGTTCTGACTGAAAGAATTAAAACTGAGCAAACTTTCTGTGGGATGGGTACCAAAACTGTTGTGCCCAGATTAGCTGCAGATAAAAGCAGAGCTTTCAATGGAAATTTTAAATAAGTAGGATCAAGGCCCTAAAGCATTTCTTTGAAGAACTAAGGAGATGAAACATAGCTTTACCAGTATGATCCTGAAGACAAAGAACAACCAAAGCAATTGCTACCAAGAGGTGGAAGTGGTTCAATCAAAGCAAAAACATACTGGTCAAAAGCAGAAGTCATGGCAACAATTTTTGGGGAAATGATCAAGGAATTTTGCTTGTTGACTTTCCAAAGAACCAAATAATAATAACATCTGATTATGAGAGAGTTTTCAGAAAGTTAGCCAAAGCTTAACAGTATAAAAAAGACAGCACTGACATAGTTAAATTCTCAGGACCCCCACTTCTTTAGTGATGGACTATATGGCTGGTATCATCGCTTACAAATGTGTCTTGAACTTGATGGAGCTTCTGTTATAAAAAAAGTTTATGTTTTTAATTTTTCTTTTAATTCCATTATTCCATGAACTTTTATCATTCCCTACCAACAAGAGCCAATCAGATGAATAAACAACAGAAACAGTGCCATTAGGATATAAACTATCTGCCTATTAGAGATAGTAAAACAGCCATTTTTATTCCTTCTCCAAGACTCTCCTGGCTGGCAGCACGAATTAACTATTCGAATCTGAAAAATCTTACAAATGGACTGAACAACCACAAAAGTTTGAAGTTTCATATTAGATGAAATCCACATGAAATGAAGTTCTACCTCCATGCATTACCTCCAAATGAACACACATTCCAAAAATTTATAAAAATAAACGTTAATGAAGTTAATGTTAGACTAAATATATATAACCAAGACAAATAAAAATGAGTCAATACTTCTGAATAACCTAATAGGAGAGTCATATGTTAAGACATAAAAGGACTTAACAATGTTTACAATGTAACAAATTAATTTCTTAATGGGAACAGTTGATATAGCAGTTCACAAACAGAGTTTAAAAAAATACCTCAAAATATAAAGACTCAGAATTTGTGTCACTTCTATGGGATTGACTAGGGTTTAAATGTTTATTATCTTGTCTCTTTTGCAAATTCTGTCTTCTTTCAGAGGAAGTACTGTGTCCTCGGCATCTGAATCCAACCTAAGCAAACCCCAGAGGGGAAGAGAAAATATTATTATTTTTAAGTAAAGGTTTTATTGAAATATAAAATACTTGCAGAAAAGTACACAGAAGTGTACAACTAACTCAATGAATTTTCACGAAGTGTACAATTTATTTTAAAAGGTCAAAACTTCTGACAA